ATGCTATTACCAATATAAGAATGGTAGTAGAAGCAGCAGATTGGAAAAGGGAACATAAGTTCTATATATATTGAACTTTATTTATCTGAAGTGTAGAATTTCTTATTGTAAATTCAACTGATTTTTTCCTCCTTTTTATGAAGCTTTTCCCCTCCATTTTATTTTGTATTCCTACTTGAATCACAAATGGTACACCTTGAGTGATATGAACAACACAAGTTCCAGGTAAGTATGACAGAGAACGAAATATGTATTTTGACTTAAAGATAACTAGGAATCAAATCAATCCATCATTCCCTGGGCTATATACTGACAGTCCGACTTTGCAAGGGTTAATTAGATAAAATGTTTGTTTTTCCTTAGAAGCCAAGGATTTGTTTGTTATACTAGTCTGAACAGAGACAAATTGTTTTCTTTTCTTTGAATTTTTTTGTTTTCCGGACAAAGCTGTTTTTATTTATTATATTCAATTCCACCAAACTCTCTAATTTAAATAGATACTAAAAATAAATTCCCTAGGGCAGAAAAAGAATGAACAAAGGGAAAATTAGCCAATAGGACATGGAGCAGCATGCACAATTGGCCACAGACAAATAAACGACACCCAAGAAGACTGGTTTCCTAGGAACATTTTCCTAATCGTGGTCATGATCACTGCCTTCCAAGAATAATACAGAGTAAGCAGTATTTTAACAAGGGTAGAGAAGAAACTGGTAACAAGATGTTTGTTTTCATTAGAATTTTTCATTAGGTCGTGACATGTAAACAAAGATGTTTAATATAGTTCTAGAAAAGCAAGATAAAAAATCTTTAAGGTATAAGAGGTTGATAACTTTGAAAATACTTTAAAATAAAATGATAGATTTATGAAACTTTAAGCAAATCCTCAATATTTTTAGGATGCTCAGAAATTTCAAGACATGGGTTTTTAAAAATTTTCCCTTCTAATCCAAAGCAAGTTTCTTCTTTTGTAAAATCTTCCAATTTTCTCTTCTTTTAATTTAGGTTATATTTTCTAATGGTCAGGGTTTGTAATTTAATATTCTTAGATGTATTTTGTTTTAAATTCTCTCTCTGGACTACCTTCTAATTTTTTCTAGTCAAAAGATTGTCTAACATAATTTTGATTCTGAATGTCACTTCAGAATCAAATGTTAAATTGTGAATGTTAACATTCACAATAGAGAAAACAAACTGAGATGGAAGCACTCTAAGGGGAATAAAAGAAAGAGCCCTTACACCTATTCTTCTATATTTCACATTTTCTTGCATAAGGTTTGGCTTTCTACTCTTGTGTACCTCCTGTATTTGTGATCAGAAATTTTACACTGATTCTTTATTTTCCAATCTGTTAGATTAACCCTGCCTGGATTAAGAACTAAATAAAATAATTTAGGAAATGAAGTGTAATATAGAATAAGGAATCTGCAGGAAAAGAAAAACAAAAAGGGAGCGAGGATATCTGGAGATGGACATCATCAAATTTATGAAGCAGACAAACACTTATCTTTGGTACCAAGTATTCTCCTTGTTTAGCCTCTCATCCCACCTCCACCATCATACTTTACCTCTTTCATCCCCTCCCTATCTAACCTGATTTTCCTTCTGTAGGACCTTACCAGTTGCTAGCTTATTAGCTTCATCAAAAAGTATTATCCTGCCCACAAGTTTTTGCATTTAATAAAAGTCTACTATAGACTAGAATTCTGTCTAGGCCCAAGAGTAAATTTCTAATGGTTTAATGAAATTTTCTTCACTGGTGGTATAAAGGTGTTCTTTGTGCCTTTACTATCATACTTCTCACTTTTATATCTATTTCATTCCTGATCCTCATTCTTCCAGCTACTCCAGGCTGACCAGGCTTTGTATGTATTCAATTCCCACAAAATACTAGTACTTTAACCAGGATAGTAAAAATAGTAAACGTGAAGGGTGATAGATATGTGTATGAGGAGGAGAGTGGAAAATACCTAAATGTCTGTGTGTGTTTATGAAGGGGCATGTACATGTGTGTGTAGATATCACATATTTATCTTTTGTAATCAGTCCAAACAACAACAACATAAGAACTTCTCTCATGGGGGGCGTCTGCTTGACCAATGAATTCAGCAAAAGAGGATTTTGTGTATTTCGGGAAACCCTTCTTGTATCTTTGATTGCTATGATTGTTTAAGTTGTTCTTAGATTATTTTCCAGTGAAATATGATTTAGCTGATCTGTGATACGGGCTTGAAAATAAACCTTTTTTACTCAGAAACTATTTAATAAGACTCTGTGTGTGTTTGAGTGTATATGTGTATTCCCTTTGAATTCGTTTTTCTCATCTTTTTCAGGGGAACACTATGCATTCGCAGGGGCAGACATTTATGTTCTATTGTTCTGGGGAACTCTACAAGGCAGCCAAAATGATCTTGGAAAATGTGAGAGGACAAAGAGAACACATAGAGACTTAATTCTTCTTAAGATCACCTTGATCTTAAAGATAGACTGTGAAAAATATAGAAAAAGGAAATATAAACCTGCCAACCTATGAGAAAATCATCTGCTTTAGTATGACATTCTTCTTTGATCCTTTGGAAAAGAGCAGTTTGAATGAATAAAGGTACAGATGGGAGTGTAATAAACTGGAAGCTATGTCCCTGGCTGGTGTGGCTCACTGGATTGAGCACCAGCCTGTGAACCAAAGGGTCACTAGTTCAACTCCCAGTCAGGATACACGCCTGGTCTGCTGGCCAGGTCCCCTGTAGGGGGTGTGTGAGAGGCAACCACACATTGATGTTTTTCTCCCTCTCTCCCTCCCTTCCCCTCTCTCTAAAAATCAATAAAAATAAAAAATCTTTAAAAAATAAAAAATAAAATGGAAGATATGTAAGCAAAGTGATCTGGTTGTGAACCCTTTCTCCAATAGCAGGAGTGTCAGTACTTTTTGCCATGTATAATGTGCACATATTTTGCCCAACTTTTTGAGGAAAAATAAGGATGCGTGTTATACATGGGTATTACTAATTCTGTATCTATACAGATGCTTTTAATTCTTTTCTTTATGCTTATGTGTTAAGAGTGTACTTCTAGAAAGCAATAACTATCCTTATGCAAAATAATACCCTGGGATACCATAATCAGTTTTGTTTCTAAATATAAATAAACATTGAATTAAAAAATTAAAATGAAAGATTTTTTTCATGAAAGTGTGGGCCAAAAAACGTGGGTGCACACTATACACGAGGGTATGTTATACATGGCAAAATACTGTATATTTACCCAAATTTTGTATAAATTCATTTCCTATGTGTACAGACTGTGTTGTCTTTCTTATGTTTTTTCAAAAATCAATTGCAGACTGATAACTGTCTACCAATCTCTGTTCTCCCATTCTTCCTGTGCAAACAACTAGATTATATTTTTTAGCTTCTCTTTCAGTTATGCTTGACCGTCTGACTAAATTCTCTCCAGAGGGATTGGGAGCAGAGTTACATTATGTCAATTCCAGGACTTGCCCATAGAACCTCCACACACACACACTTTCAAGCTTTATTTTCCTATTTTTCTCACCACAGGAAGGGATGGTGGCAACCAAATCAACACTGGAAACCACAGTTGAAAGTAGAAATGTTATCTTGTGACCTGAATACCCATTATGCATTGTGACATGAAAAATTAAGTCTTTGTTGTATTTGAACCATTACATGTTTGTATTTATTTGTTAATAGCAGTTTAATCTACCCTACTACATTGTAGTAGGAGAGAATAGTATCTCCCACAAAGTGTAGCACAGAGCTGAGCATGGAGTAGGTACTCAATAAATAATTGTTGAATGAATGAGCCACTACACTAACCCATTGATGAAAGTTCTCCCAGAAGTTATGGTTACCATGGAGCGCTAAGCTGCAAAATATTCTTACTTGCACATCATTTCATTCATTTTAAGTGATAATTCATATTTGAGTTTTGAGCAGTTATTGAGTGCCATGTTTTACCTGGAAAAAAAAATCCTGATGAAGGAGATTACCTCCATTTAACACATGAAGAAACAAATTCAAAGAATTAAGCCACTTTCCCAAGGCCACACAGTTCCTAAATGGCTGAGCCAGGATTCAAGTTCAAGCCTGTTTGGTTTCAAAACTCTTTTTATTATACAGTGCTTCCCTGAATATGTGTTTGGCTTCATATACTTTGTTTGTTGTTTAGCTTTATAATCCTGAGAGTATAATATGATTCAAAGCAAGGTATAATGACTTGGAACTTAGTAAATCTCCATATAAGCTAATGATAGATGAGATAGGTAATCTTATCCAATTAATAGAACCATTTAGTCTGGTAAGCAGTTTATGACCATCTCTTACACTCTTTCTTCCATAAGTGATGTTTAAAATTATAGAGTAAGTATAGTACAAACTTAGCTAGAAGATATGGGGATTGAATTTGAGACACCATGACTGGATGATTTGCTGGTTAAGGATCAGAAAGCAACAGAAAACATTTCTAATTTTAGTCCTTACTTTTTGGAAAATCATTCAAAATTCAGAAATTCATTTTCTGACCATTGAGCAGGTTGTTGCAGTAGTATTCCAGACTAGAGAAATGTACTGTAGAGTTTTTTAATTTTGTTTCTTTTCAACTGTTCAGCAAATATTTATTGAGAACTACTATATGCAATATGTACTTCAAGAATTGGGAATCCAGTATTGTACAATAAAAATCCCTCATAGACCTTATGTTTTAGTAGTTAGAGAAAAATGATAAGCAAATAAACAAAAATACATAGTCTTCCAGGTGGTAACATATACTTAGAGAAAATAAAACAAGCTAAGAGAGAAAGGGGGTTCACAGGGAGCAGGGGCAGTTATGGTTTACTGAGTAACTCATGAATGACGATAATCAGAGAGGTGAATGCAAGGCCTGAGTAGCTGAGGGAGTCAGTTATGCATATGTCTGGAGAGAATGTCTTACTCAAAGGAAAAAACATATGTAAATATCCTGAGTGGGAGAAAGTGCTTGGATTGTTGAAGAGACAGATTGAGGAGGAAAGGGGTGGAGATGAAGTCCCTCTCAAACATGACCATTAAAACACAAATATATTTATCCTAGAATAGTTGCTTCTAACATCAGTGGATGATGTTTACAGTTTTATTACATCTTAGGGCTACTGTGGGGGAGATAAAGAAAAGATGTCTGCATATTTATATTTGTGTGAAGTTAGCTTTTTTTCCTCTTGGTATTGTTAAGATTAAATAATGAATGGTAGGAGTAAGAGAGTTTATCATGCTTGTGAAATATTTTTGTATTTATGGATTTCTTATCATTTTTAAAATGTTATATTCCAAATATATGTTCACTTCTTTGCTCTTTTTGAGAACATCGTGCATGTTTAGGACTAATCTATTGAGAAAAAGCCTCCTTATAATAATGTTCTGGTATTTCTTTTCAGTGTTGAACTTGTAATTGCAAGTCTGGATTTGTTGGCTCATGGTTGCTTGAGTGTTTCACCTTCTTCATTTCTAGTTATAAACACAGCTATGGGTGCTTCTCAAATGTACAGAGGGCAGATTTTCACCAGGAACTGATCTTTTCAGATACTCTGCTACTGTCTTTATCAAGTAGCTCTACAGTATTTGCATGCACTTTCTCTTGTGCCAGTAATCCTGAAAAGAGCTTTCTGGGAGAAATCATCAGGATGGTATTTATAAAATTTGATTTTCAACAATTAACTACACAATTTACTTTAACACATTGCAGGTCATCCTGTAATCTACCTTCAGGAAGACTTCTCAGGGGGTGATATTGTACCGAATAGGAGTGTCATGTCCAATGAAAGATAACTGTGATGTCTCTTTTCTGATCTCTAGCATGCCAGAATCTGAGAAAGCCCTGCTGCATTCAGAATGGCCCAAGTTTTTACTTCATCCCACCTTAGGCATGACTGGGCTGGCCCTTTTGGAAAACCTGGAGAAAGTGCTCCACATGGGTCCTGATCCTTGTGCTTGCAGCTACGTCTGACTCTTTTTTTCAATTTGTTTCTTTCACTGACTTTCTCTTCTCTTGAAGGAAAATTTTATTTATCATCTAACATTGAGATTTTTGAGAAATATTCTGATCCATTATGTATACACGTATGACATAGGTAACTGTTTCTTCAGTTGACAGGTCTTTAGGTAAGGAGGAGCTGTACTCAAGAAACCACCACATCTGAGGAGCTTCATTGCAGCAGAATTTGATTTCGATATCAAGATTCTCCAACTTGAGCCCTGGCTGCTGTGGCTCAGTGGACTGAGCCCTGGCCTGCGAACCAAAGGGTCGCTGGTTCGATTCCCAGTCAGGGCACATGCCTGGGTTGCAGGCCCGGTCCCCAGTAGGAGGCTTGCGAGATGCAACCACACATTGATCTTTCTCTCCCTCTTTTTTCCCCTCCCTTCCATTCTCTAAAAATAAATAAATAAATAAAATCTTTAGAATAAAAGGTTCTCCAACCTGGGTCTCAGTTGCTGCTGTCATAAATGAGATTCATGGCCAATTTTGGAGGTGATATGCGTATTTTGCATTTGCAAAGAAGGTTAATAATTTGTAGTCCAAGGGCAGATTCTGTTGGTTTTATAATGCATGCAAAAAGTCTTTGAGACCCTGGCCAGTGTGGCTCAGTTGGTTAGTGTGTCGTCTTGGAACAAAAAGGTTGTGGGTTTGATACCTGGTTTGGGCACATATGGGAAGCAACCAATCCGTTTCTCTCTCACATCAGTGTTTCTCTCTCTCCCTCTCTCCCTCTCTCTCTCTCTCAAGAAAAAAAAATAAAAAGAGCAATGTATAAATGTCCTCGGATGTAGATAAATTTTTTTTGAGTTTTTGACATTTTTTCTTTCAAAATGTAGAGCCTAAATCCTCTTCCTTAGAATATGGCTCAGACTTAGCAACTTACTTCTAACAAATAGAATGTTCCAAAAGCAAAAATATATATCTTCTGATGCTAGGTCATAAAGACATTCTTACTTCCTCTTTGGTCTCTTTCTCAGACTACTTGCTCTGGAGGAAGCTAGGCTTGCACTATGAGGACACTTAAACAGACTGTGGAGAGCTCCACAGAACAGAAACTGAGGCTTCCTGCCAAAAGCCAGCACCAGCTCACCAGCCACGTAGGTGAGCCATGCCAGAATTATAACGTATATCCTTCAGATCTCATCAGGCCTTTAAATAACTGCAACACTGATCAGCATTTTGGTTACAAGAAACTCTGAGCCAACCCCCTGTAGAGTTTCTTTTTTTAGATGGACATTGGGGTTGAATAGTCATAAAAGAATGTATGTCTATTTATATTTATTTTAATAAAAATAATAAATTATTTGTTTCATATTTAATAGAATATATAATTACTAACACACATATGTATTGTAAAAAATGTTACCATCATTTAGTCTATTTGACAACAGAGGGTCACATTTGATGTCATATAATATTCATGAGGTATAATGTAGCAACAGCATGGAGGGGGAGACAGAAGCACTCATTTATTAGTTTAAATTCACTATATTGCTAAATACTGCAGTTTACATGTTTCCAGTTAGATATCTTAATCACATTAAGTTTTAAGTAAATGAACTCTCACAGATTTCAAAGGGTTTCTGCAAAGAATATTTATGATATTACTAATGTAAGTACAGGTGGACAAGAAATGTATAGCATTATTTGTCAATCACATTAATTTAAATACAACACAAATCCAAAAACAATGATTTAATTAGGCTTGCTCAAATACTGGCCTACAAAGTTCAAAATTGACAAGAAGACTGATATATGAATTTATATCCTGATAGTAATAGTAAATTTCACCCTAAATATGTTTTGCACCTTAAGATATTAGTTAATTATGACACTACATGTATATAATTTATAAATAAACATACATCTACTGGGAGAATGTGTTCAAAATAAGAAAACACAATGGAGTTTAATATCTATAAAGTTTGGAATCTATTGTCTTAATACAATTCCTTATTTTGCTATATTAACAATATTTATTTATATGTCTGTTTTCTACACTAAATATTAATGTCCTTGAGGAGAGAGGGACTATGTCTTATGTTTGTATCTAGAGTATGTAGCTCTTGGTTTTGCAGTGGTAGATTCTCAAGTAATCTCTGCTAAATGGAAACAGAAGTTCACAACCAGCATTAAAATGAAGCAAAGATTAAAACAGCCTGACTTCTATTACCAAACAGACAAATTTTGCTCATATGATTTTGGAAAATACATTTTTACTTCCCATTCGTACTAACTAAATGGTTTCTTATGAAACTCACATGTAAAAATAAACCTTAAAACCATGTAAAAACCATGAAAGCTATGATGCATTCATATTATTTTTCAAATATAAAGTACTTTGAAAGTTAGTGTAATGAAAAACTAAGCTTAGAAAATGACAGATGAGAAACAGGTTAGCTATGTCCTGAAAATTAAATGTGTCTCCTAGTGTATTTGGCCTTTGAAATGCTGACACTTTCCTTCAATTGTTCAAACAAATTGTTTCAACAAACATGCTGTAAATGTTACAGGATTTTTTTGAAAAGGAGAGATGTAGACATTACTTACCATTTCCAAATGCCTCTTATAGTCTATAGTGGTGTCAGCATTCCCTTTGTTCTTGTTTTAGTCAGTTCTACTTAAAAATAACTCGTTTGGAGATAAGAAATGAAAATGGGAAGCACAAAAAGGAAACTAATGGGGCAGCTTTCCTGTTCTGTTTGAGAAATAATTTCCTGAGAATGTGAAGGCTTACAGTCACATGAGAAGGCAAGTCTAATACTTCATTTCTGTTTTGTAAACTAAGGTAACCAAACATCTTTGTTTGGGTTGTTTGGGTTTCTTTTTTTGAGAGTGAGGAAATGATCTATAGTGTTTTTAAAAAGATTTTATTCATTTATTTTTAGAGAGGGGGAGGGAGGGAGAAAAAGAGGGAGAGAAACATCAATGTGTTGTTGCCTCTCACACGCCCTCTACTTGGCACCTGGCCCACAACCCAGGCATGTGCCCTGACTGGGAGTTGAACTGGCAACCCTTTGGTTTACAAGCTGGCACTCAATCCACTGAGCCACACCGGCCAAGGTGGACCTATAACATTTTAATGAAACCAAGGAGATATTTGACCTTGGGATAAAGGACTTTGGTATTAAAATCTCAGGTTTGTAATAGGTAGAGCTCACAGAAACAGGAATGAAAGGAGTGAGGTGTACATGAAGTGAGGCTGACTTACCTACCTGATTAAAATTAAGGTACATGACAGATCCATGTGAGATATTTTCTTTTCTTTTTAAATTTTTTTTTTTTTTATTTTCGGCGGTTGGGCGGTATGGCAACTGAGGGGGATGTAGAGCTGGAGTTGGAGACCGAGACCAGTGGTCCGGAGAGGCCTCCTGAGAAGCCACGAAAACATGACAGTGGAGCAGTAGACCTGGAGAGAGTCACTGACTATGTGGAGGAGAAGGAGATCCAAAGTTCCAGTTTGGAGACAGCCATGTCTGTAATTGGAGACAGACGTTCCTGGGAGCAGAAAGCCAAACAAGAGTGGGAGAAGGAACTGGCAAAAGTCACTACCAAGAAGGAAGATCTGGCGCTGACAGTGAGTAGTGACGACGAACTAGTTATGGATGACACAGATGGGAATCTCAAGAGCAGCAGCAGAGCAGAGCTTGAGGGAACACATGGGCAACGTGGTAGAGGCTCTGACTGCTCTAACCAACTGATTTGTGCTTTCTCAGACCTACCCACTGGATTAACTTACTGCAATAAAGATGTCTTTTTTTTGCAGTTTAAAAGAAATTTAATTTTGTTCAGTTACAGTTGTCCTCATTTTCCTCCATTACTCTCCTTTGCCCTACCCACTCCCCACGTCCCATATTTTCTGATTATGCTCTGACATCACCTCTTGGTTTTTTGGTGAACACTTTTGTACCCTTCTCAGCTCCCCGCAAACTACTTGCTGCTACAACTCCATGCATCAATCCATGATTGTCTCCATTTTATTTTCACTTGCCCTCTACTGTTCTCCTTTACTCCTTTTGCTGCTTGCATGTGTACCCTTATCTAAGTGTTTATAAATACTACATATGTGATTGTGTATATGAATAGATACATCTAATTAAATAATGATGAAATACAACTTGTAAGCACTGAACAAACGTTCTAAAATAAATAAAAGTAACACCTAATGACTGCAGTTGGATAAATAATACTTACTATTTCAGTCTTCAACTTAATGGTTTAACTAATGATATAAGCCTTCACAAGTTTATCAAAATAGAGCTTGTCATAGTGCCAATCTGTATACCAGCTATCCCTCATAAGGATTATTCAGCTCATTCATTCATTTAGAACATGTTTATTGGGCACTTAATGTGTCTCAGGTACTGTTTTAAGTATCTGGGTACTATCAGTGAACAAAATGGAGAGAAATACCTGCTGTATAGGGCTTACAGTCTAGAGGGGAAGATAGGCAGAACCTTCATACCTTCCTTCCAAAAGTTCAAATTTCAAATATGTAACATATGGCAATTTGACCATAAAAATGTACCTTGGGATGCACTATGTAATTCTTCAAAGAATCTAACTTCATAAAATGATGTGGTCTGGAAATGAGGACGAGTATGTATTGCTCAGCCAAAATATTTCTCTGGTGACATAAGAATCTGAGGGTAGCCAAGAACCACATCACCCACTCCAGATTTCTGGCTTCCTCCCAGGAGTCTAAACATTTGTTTCCTGAGAAATACCATTTGTGTAATTTCTTGGCCTCTGGACTGGGATACTACACAGCTAAAACTGCATTGCCCTTACTTTATTTTGTGAGCTGGAGTCAAGGCTTTAAATTTTTTAAATTTGTTTGTTTGTTTTTTTTTGCACTGTGGTAATGCAGTTATATTTTGGATAATCTAGACAATATTGCTCAATATTATCCTGGGAGATAAAATTTTAGGGAAGGAGCAGATTCTATAGACCCCATGGAAATTCGAAATACATTTTAATGAGTTTTAGAGGGCAAAACATGAAAGGTGAAACTCAAATCCAGGAAGACCTTACCAGAACTCTGATGCAAGTTATTTACCTACAGAAACAGAAGATAGGCCACAGGATGTGAGATGTAACCCGAGGGGAATATTGAGGAAAGAGTATTCATTAACCCAGAAGAAGAGAAGCCTGAGGGATAATTTAATAACTATCTTAAAATATCAATGACTCAGAGGTACAGGATAGTCCGCAAACAATCTCTTTATCCTTGAGTGAATAAATAGACTTAAGAAAGGCCATGGGAGATTTGGAATAGATTTAAGTAGGAATCTTGATTGTGAAACACCGGAAGTGGTTCCTGGGGAAAGTTGCATGAAATCTTCTTACTAGAGAGGTTTATAAATAGGAGAAAGCCTCATTCTTCTGTGAGGGGTAGAGTGTAGAAGCAAGGCCTAGTGACGATAAGGTTTCCTCTGCAGTTCTACATTTGGTACACCAGGTCTTTTGGAATCAAGTTGTCTTTGTATAATGTTGGAGTAGACTGGCATGATTTGTATTTAAACTATTGTTTAAGTGATATTTAAAATAAATATCTATCTTCTGTAAACAAAGTATAGCCTTTAGTAGTTTCCTCTCATTTTTAAACATATCATGACACTGAGTAATATCTCACTATGCTTTTTTTTACTGTGTCAGTAATAATTATTTCATTTGATGATGATTAAACTAATGTGAATGATGCCAGTCCACACAAGTTCTGTTACCTCAAGTACTTTGTAAAAGAAAAGAATATTTATTTGCATAATGTCCACAGATATTGTCAGGAAATTACAACATTTAGTGTTCTTTTCCTGTAAGTTTATTTGCTTTTAACCCATATAACTCTCCTTATATAGGGCTTGTACAGACAATTCACAAGAAGTGGCTGAATCTCACACACATTTGGAAAGGTAAGTTCTAATTTTCTTAAAATTTATAATAAAATTGTACAAAATAAGTACATTTGTAATAAATAACAAGTTATTTGATAGTATTTTTGGAGAATAATTAGAATTGTATATGACTTTGAAGATCATCAAATGTCATCAAATTTATTTTCCTCTTAGGAAAACTGAGATCCTGAGAAAAGAAAATTTGTATCCAATATAACAGTGGTAGCAGTAGGGCCAAAACTCAGGTCCCCTAACTCACAGACTAGTGCTCTTTACAACACACATCACTAAATCTTTCTCTGTTTTGGTGGTTATTTGTTTGGTGAGGTGGCATGAGTATGTACATGTCTGTTAAGGCTAAGAATCTGTTGGTCCATGTAGAAGTATGACAGCCATATGAAAGTGATAGACAATTCAAAAGAGTATGTTCTTTAAAGACAAGGAACACAGGAAAGATAACATGGCAAAGGGAGAGTCATACAGAAGATATTTCCTGATTGCAGATATGATGTTTTTTAGGGGAACTCTTCTAGAATAAGGGGTGAGGAGGAGAAGGGGGAGATACTAATTTACCATGCCTGAAAATATAAACAAATGGTTGGGAGTTTGCCTCATATTAAATATCATAGATGATAGTTAAAAGATTAAATGTGTTTTCCCCACACATTATGAAAAAGGTTTCATAATAATTGAATTTTTCACAGCTATTGAATTTTTTCTAAGGTGTTTATAGTAAGCAATATCTATGTAGCTTGGAATTAGAGTCCATCTGTGTCATTAAGTATTTGTATGACATAGCAAATAAGAATTGTTAAGCAGTGTGGCACTCTAAAAGACTCATGGTAATATGGAAGGCTAATATCGCTGAGACATTAAATGAAGAAAAATGCAGATAGCAAATTTACACGTAAAAACCTATATTGTCCTAAATAAAAACAATTTTTCCTGGACCCATCTCAAGATCTGCTATCTCAGGCAATTCAAGTTCTCTCTCATGTTTTTTCTCCCTTAGACCCATCCTCTCTAGCCCCACCAGATATGTATTATGTTTTAGCCTCCAAGAGCTCAAAGATGAATAAAGATTCATTTCCTTCCTTAAAGAAGCTTTCAGTCCAGTCCAGGAAGGGGGAGAGTTAAAGAGATAATTATGATGTAGTGTACTAAATAAGATGATCACAGGAAACATTTTTCCAAATGGGTCAATGGAAACCTAGGATAAGAGTTTCAGCAAGGACATGATGTCTGAGTAGAATTTTGAATGATACATGGGAAGATCTCTTTTTATTTTCCTTGGATTATTGAAAGTATTCCCCAACTGGACTTCTTGCTAACATGTTTGCCCTACTACATTTTGAGAGATCTTCCTGTTTAAAGACAACAAAGCATAAGAAATTCATGAGATATCTGGGAAAAGGCAAATGTTTGGTATGATTTTATTGAGGAACGAAGGGATTCAAGTAAAGAAAATAAACAGAGGCTAAATCATAGGATGTTTTGTGTACTATGAACCATGATTTATGGAAATGAAAAGCAGTGGAATATGTTGTAAGTGGAAGACTAACCTAGTTCAATTTACTTTTTGATTTCATGGCTTCTAATTGGAGAATGGGTTGGAGGAGGGTAAGCATGATGGTAGGAAGCCCAGTTTAGATGCATCATGAAGGACATAATGACATTCTCACCTAGGGACATGGTGGTGGAAATAGAGAAAGGTAGACAGATTCAAGAGGTAATTAGGGAATAGCATTGGCAGGACTCCATGTTGAATTGATTGTGTGGATGAAATTGATTGTGTGGATGAAATTGATTGTGTGGAAGGAACAAGGATTATCTTATCTGGCTTTAGCAAATAGATAGCAGTGTCATTCTGTGAAATTTGAAACATAAGAGGAGGATCCATTCTAGGTGAAGGAGGAAGATAATGAGTTCAGATTTGGACTTGTTGAGTTCGACTTGCTTGTAAGACATACAAGTGAAAATTTTTACTGAACAATTTAATATAATGGAGCTCGGGAGAGTAGTATGTACTCCCTCTTCTTTGCCTCTTCTGAATGCCTTTAGAGATCATCCACATCAACTTGGTACTTGATTCCACATTGCTCTGGACCTATCCTTTATTTTCCCTGTTGCCTTCTACTTCCCAAAGGCAGACATTGTATACTCATCTGTACCTTTTGCAATGCTTACCTGACTTGCAGGTGGGTATATGAGTGAGGACTTTATAAAGACTTCTGAAGACTTGCATTTGGCCACCTCACTACTGAGGTCATTCAGGAAAAAATGACATTTTAATACTTATCATAAGGTACCAAGGATATTTAAGTGTTTTTAAATAGCTACAAAATATCATAAATCAGGTTTACATGCATGACAAATTTTACCTGAAAGATTACTAGAATATTTTCCATTATCCCCTTTCCCTAATTTAGGCTTTTCAAACTTGAGGAAGAAGTGCAAATGATAACTGCTTTTCTACACTGGCTTCTTTACAATCCTTTATTCGATCTTCTGGGTCCCTGAGATTCTGCATCCCAGTCTGGTATATGGAATTCATAAACCAGGGAAGGGATTTGGTCATTGTTATGTATTGTTTGGGGACTTGTAACTGTCTGTGAACGTGGTATCCTGAAATACTCTCTGCTTCATTTTCATGAAAGAAGGGGCATCTATTGTATCAACAGTAGAACTTGAGGGACTTCTGTTAAGTGTTTACAGCAAATAGTTCCTCTTACTTTAAAAAAATGCAGGAGGCTTGGGCACATTTGTCAAATGTGGAAATGGGTCCTTGGATGGCTTAGTAATTCTTG